AATCACAAAATATTACAAACTTAATCATTTATGGTACAATTAAAATATAAATTTCAATTTTGGTACACAGTAGGAGTATTGTTTGAAATCTTTGTTAACTCATTAATAACGTTGGGTGTAGGTAAATTATTAATGTTGTTGATGGATCCAGCTGAAGAGTGAGAAGCTCGAGGAATGGCTGCAGGATCTTTCTTCTCTGTTCTGTTTTTTAGCTAGAGGTTTTGACGCGTCATTTCTCAGGGTGTTTATGATGTTAGAATCATGGTATAAATAGGTATTGTAATTTTTGGTGACAAGTGACAACAGCTGCCAGGTTTTGCCGCGGATAAGCTCGAAAAAACTGCTGACAGGCGCTATCATACAATTTTTCCATCTATAAACTTTTTTGTAATTGAAAATTGCGCGTTTGTAATTGGTAGAAATTAAGACGAGGGAAATAGTCGAGAACAAAATCCTCCCTATAGCCCTCGATGTCATATCGAGCAGTATATTAAAATATTATGCTGGTTAAAGTTCGTTAATTTATCATGCATGTGCAGGTAGCTCCAAAACTGTTGTAACGTATAACTTTGTATAACAGTCCTGAAAAGTAGGCAACGCACATGATTGGATCGTTACACATCTGGCAAAGCAAGTTGCGCGTTCACTTGTATACGGAAACTTGTTTTTGAATCTCTAGGGTTGACGATCTATACAGCAGCATTGCCAACATTACCAACAAAAAAATCTTTCACAATATCTGAGTCTTATCACTCTCTAAACTTTCAGCTGACTTGTCATATTTTCTCGAAATTGTGCGACTAGCGGTGGTACGTGGTAGTTGCAATAAGAGAAAAAGTGGAATTCTGGAAACCTCAGTTCGAATGACTTTCGAGTTAGCGATTAATTTTGGGCGCATCACTGACATGGCCAGAATTTCCCGAGAATCCCAAATTTGTATTGCTGATGGATGTTTGAGTTCCTGATTATTTGTAACACATAATAAAAAAAATGCCTATAACTGCATATAAACATATTTTCAACTTGTGATCTAAATGTTTGTTCTAAGAAGCTGTTCTGAACTAGTTCAGTTCAAAACTAATTCCGAATTATTCTTCTGCGCATGCCCGAGAGGTGAGTACAGTATAGAACTAGTTCCGAACTATTCTGTTAGAACAGAGAGCTACATGGCTCATAGTCTTAAACATAACCTGAAGTAAAATTTAAAAATATCAAGTTTCCGTATGAAAGACGAGGCATTTATTGTTTACGTACTGATTTTAAAAAAAAAGAGGAAAACGAGATCGCAGATTTAACAAGAGATCTGTTTGGTATAGTGCGCTTTTTGTTCGTCAAAGTACAGTACTGTGTTTTGGAAGCATTAAACTGTACAAGATTGTTGTCCAGGTTTCTTGTCAGAGAGAAGGTCGCTGCTAGTCTTCTTTGTTTCAGCTCACCGACAGAGACCGGCTCTGAATTCCTGTATGTAGGATGCTGTCATCAGCAAAGCTATGGATTGGATTGATCGTGCAGTAAATGGGGTCGTTGATATATAAGAGGAACAGTGTCGCGGCCATGACTTATCCCTGGGGAACACCCGCATCGACCTTTGTGGGATGAAGAGGTGTACCCGACAATTACGACGGATACCTTGCGGCCAGAAAGGAAGTCAGCCACCCATCTGCAAAGCTTTTCTGAGAGACCATAGGATGGAACTTTGCATCAGAGGGCAGCGCGCCACATCTGATCAAATGCTTTCGTGATATCAAGGGTAACCACATGAGTCTCACCGTAACACAATTGAGTGGCGTAAGCTGGGGGGTCTTCTGAAGATCGCTGGTGTCGGTAACCATATTGCCTGTCACTAATCAACCCGTGACGCTCGAGGTAGTCCAGAAGCTCGCGATTTATGCACCTCTCCATCACCTTACTTATAACAGAAAGCAGAGCTGAGTATAGGGCTATATTTATAAGTGTCGGTTTCATATCCCTTTTGTGGGATTGGTTGGACCTGAGCAAATTTTCTGTTTACTGGGAAAGTGCCGTATTATGCTTGAATGTAACTTCCCGCACTCGGGCGTTGGGGGGACGTCCGTTGTGGAGTTGGCACCAAAGATCTTGGAAAGCACTGTGTAATAAACGAAACAATAAAAATTTAAGATTCAGGCCTGATATATGAGTAGATTGAACAGCGAGGAAAGTCACAAAACGGCAATCACAAAATCCAGTTTCCCAGCTATCGTCGTCATTAATTCTGTAAACGCGCATGCGCTATCAAATTTGAACTTTTAGTTCTCTCTCAGAACCAGATCAGAACCGGGTCTGAACCAGTTTGGAATTTGTTGGGACAGAGAACTGCCAGTTACGCAACCAGTTCCATTTTCTGTTGGAACGGTAATTTCGATCTGCGTATGCAGTTCAGAACTAGTTCGATGGTGTGTTGGAACAAAGCTCTAATTACTCGTGCTTTAATTTTTGTAGGTGGATCCATATTAGTTTTGGCAAAGTCAAGAGAGATGCTTTTATGACATTTCCGATATTTATGGGCAACTTGAAAATAAATGTTTTAATTTGGCCCAAGTACCGAGACAGTGGTATATGTTTTTGTCGAATAGGAACAGAGTCTCAATCTAAACAATTGATGTTTTTAAAATAAATAAATGAAAAGCAAATGACTTCACAAAATTCTTATACGGAAAATTGTTTTTGATATATTTCAGGTTCAATGTACATACTAGATCCTGACACAACAATACGCAAAAGAGTGTCATCATACTGTGAGCGACATTTTCTGTGGGATTTACACTTGTTAGAAAGCTGCTCATTAAAAAAACCGCTTCAAAGCCAGAGTTATCCTGCACTCCATGACACTTGAAAAATATTCATATACAAACTGCGTCGATAGGTTTTGAGAATTCTGAAAGTTCAAATTAAGCATCTTGTCAGTAAGGCTAGAATTTAAGTTAGGGTGCTCATAATACAAGAGTACTTATAGAGAGATTCACTGTTATTGCGAACGCCATCGGCAAAAGAAGTATGATGAACCCTAAGAATTTTAATGGAATTTAATCGAATAAGCTTGATAATAAAGGAACTAATGAATAAGAAGTAAGTATTTTGGATAATATGGATTATCGTAAAAAGAAAAAGGGCATCTGAATATCCTAATAAGCTTTGTTTTGTATACATATTTCTCGATTTCTAGTCCATTTTTAAGAGTAAACAAAATACGAGGAGTGAAGATAAAAAATGTAGCTTCTGAATATCCTAATGCTTTGTTTTGTATACATACGTCTCGATTTCTAGTCCATTTTTAAGAGTAAACAAAATACGAGGAGTCAATGTACAAAGGTAGCTTCAACATTGTTTCTGATCAATTCGTAACAACGTGATCATTTTGAGACATTCTAAAGAATTTTATCTATTGCTCAAAAATTACAACCGTACGCGTGTGATGCGCCATCTACGTTCATTAGAGATTGTCGAGGTGTCGATAAAATACCTGTTTATAATTGGATAGAGTCATCTACATTTTCATATATTTTCAGGTTCGTTGACAAAAAAATTCAAATTTTTCGAATTCACCTGATCGAAGGACCATATTAAAAAATTGTAAAAGACTTCTTCTTAAAATCTGTCCTATTTGGCAACACCGCTTAACTGAACGAGTTTTTACGAAGAATTCCGAACGAGCAGAATGACCCGATACATAAATGGTACAGTGTTGCCTGAACCTCACCTAAAGTAATAAAGGCACAGATAAAAAATATGCACTTGTAGCTATTCTTCCTATTCTTCCCAAATTCAAGCCATGGATTAGTAAAAAGATTGCATATTTCTCTAGATGTTTTTCCAGGGGTGATTTTATCTATTTCCACTGTGACACGATTGAATAAACGAATACTATATTCCCGCGTATAAAATATCCGAGATTTAATAATATACCATTGCGTCATCTATGAGAATTTGTCACAGCTATGTTTCTCGTCTCCGCACTAATTGGGAACCTCCTTTGGAAAGGTTAGTGTCTCATTGATGGCCGTGTAACAAACTATATTAGTGGTATACAGAGTCTCCCAAATGCCATGGAGTAAACGAAAGAGGGTGATATGAGGGACCATTTTCAATCAGAAAAACCATATATGTCCTTATCTGATTGTGCACTGTGTTTGAGTTATCGCCATTTTCAAGAAATTGTGGGAATAGTGAAGAAAAACTTTTCGATACTATGACCTCTCAAAATACCTATTAGATAATCAAATATTCTAAACAGTTTCTGCACAAATAAGACAAAATGCTGCAGAAAAAAATGACTACTAGGATATAGAGGGAATAAAACTTAAATATCACATTCATCGGATCTAATAATTACTTTCCTGTCTTCTATTTGAATTACATAAGACTGGTGATTGGTGATTTATCCGCTTACTAATTTTTTGTGCAGGCCTCGGTGACAAAGGACAAAATTGCATATTAACCGATTGCTGTACCTACATTAACTGGACTAAATTGTTACTAGTACCATTTTTCCAGTGCCACACGATTTGGAAACATATCCTGCAAATATGATTGAAATATAATGCAAGATCTTCAAAAAATAGTAGAGTCTCAAAAGTAACGATTTTCCTAAAATTTTCTGATTGCAAATGCCCCCCCATCACTCGATCTCGTTTGCTCCATGATATTTGGCCTCAGCGATCTATAAGACACTAACCCTCAAAGTAGATTCTAATCAGAGCGGAGAGAGAAGCATAGCTGTGACAAATTCTCATAGATGACGCTATACAGTAGTAGGTTTTGCTATCTTCAGGTAGCATAGCTTAATCAATGATGACATTTGATTTTTTTCTAATATTCTTTCGAAAACGGCAAGATTAGCTTAACCTAGCGATCCGGCATGCACGCAAAAGGGGGACAGGCAACCCTATTTACGATTTACCGAGGTAAAAGTGGCAACGTCGCACGCCATCTGTTTGGTCCTTCGAGCCGGACCGGGCGATTTCCAAGTAACTAGGCTTGGCAACGCCGGTCAAGGGTAGGGTAGCCTCGAAAGCCTTTTCATGTTGCTTGTAAAGTCTAGGGTCAATTCCTAGTTTCGGTAAAATATATGCCGGGACAAATGTATAATAAATAGCTTTAACAACCTCAAAAACGGAAAGGCGTGATTCTGTGACCGGGCAAATACATTGCTTATAAAAAATGCTCAAATGTCTATACTCAAAACGTGTAAATACAGCTCTTGTAATTTGTGCTTTCGACCGCGTATAAAGTATTTAGTTCATTTAAGTACTTGTATATAGAAGTAACATGTGATTCCAGTCGAAAAACGGATACAGTGCAATAGAATTTTGTGATGATACAGGAATAATGATTTTTGTAGTGTAAGGTATGTTGCATGTATATTTTCTCTAGTTACTCTGTTATTCCCGTTTAGCCAAGGAAGTGTACGGATGCCCTAAACTTAAAACATACGATTTATTTTTAGCTCTAAACGAACAAATGTAAAGCAGTTGCATATTCAGAAGTTGACATACTTTATTCACGTTCAATAACAATTTTTTTAAGTTTTCTGTCAAAGAGAGGATGATCTGAACTAAAGTGACCTAAACTGCTTGGTCTGCACTTCTAAGACTTGCTTCTCGGACTTGTAGTCTTTTCAACTTTTTGAGCAAACCAACCAAAAATTAACATAGACACTGTCAAAGCTCGGAAGCTTTTGAACGTTTTGGCTGCATATTTTTGAAAGGATCATGAATGAACAAGGAACCGAAGGAAGGAAAGTAAATTCATACTTTCGTTTTATAAATAAATGATTATTTATTACTTCCTGTTAATGATGTTTTCACTTATTTTACGAGGTTGAAGTGATACATTGTTATAAAAAGTGTGCTGGATATTCTTGTTGCAATCGGTATTTTTCTTCTGATCATTGTACCAAAAATGTTCGTTCTTAATGTAAGAGCTTTGCGCCCATTTTTAATAGAAGCGGAATATTTAGCATCTCTTTGAATTTAATACTCTGATACTAATTAGGTATCATTTGTCTACATAAAACCTTGGAGTAAAAAATCTCTTCTGAAAATTTCCGATGAGGAAATTGCTGCAGGCAGAAAAAAACCATCCTGCAGTTTAAATTAATAAATTACGTTTCTGAATGCTCGAAATCAAGCAAAGAAAACATTATTTTTTTGGAGTTGATTCAATCAAGTTTTCTAAATGAAACTTTTGCAAATAGAGTCAACCACAAGTTCTGTTAAAATATACACCGGGCTTAAACGTCATTGAACAGCGATCGTAGCGGCAAACTTGGAATGAACTTTTTGCACACTAAAAACTACCTAGTCTGCAAGATGACATTACGTCGGTTTTTTACGTTTTTTTACATAATATATACATGAGTATTACGTATCTTGAAAAGTGACATCTCGTAGGTTTTTTGTGATATACTGTAGTTATTCTACAAGATGTTAACATACTATAAGCTGTTGTAACTTGTTGTGAACTCGTTTTGTAGCTGTTCGTGTTGCTTAAACGTCATAGCGATCATAGCGACCAAACGTGGAATGAACCTTTTGCACACTGCAAGATAACATTTCGTCGTTTTTTTACGTTTTTTACATAATCTCCCTGCCGCACAGAGAAGTCTAAGGGCCGTATCGTCGGTCGCTCCAACAATTGTAGGACGCCTTTATGGCCTCCTTGATTTTCATAGTTTTCTACTGTTCCGTGCCAGCGCTCTATTTTGAGGTTATGTTACAAATATCTATTTGCATCAAATTGTTCATACTTTTGATTTAAATCATCTGTTATATAGCCTGAAATTTCCTACAATTGAAAAAGAAAACATAACTAGAAGTGCGATGACACTGACATGGAACAGTACAAATCTAGAAATACCCCAGCCTTTCTGAACGAGCGGAAAGACTATAAAGATCAAGGAGGCCATAAAGGCGTTCTACAATTTATTACAGGAATGACTGACGATAGGGCCCTAAGTTAATAGGTTCATCAATTAGAAAGTTTCCCTTAATCGAAAATACAGATAGTGTCTCCTGCATACGATGAGGTTCAAATTTGGCTGACGTCGTAATGTGTACGAGAGAGAAGTCGGCTAGGCAACGAGGTGCTTCTATCTCCTTCTAGCACACGTATTGCACGCTTTTTGCGCTTCTCTCTAGTACACATTCCGACGTCAGTGGTATTTGGTTTTCAGCGTATAATAGTATAAGTTGTATATTTCACAAATGAGAAAGAGTTATTCCGATAGTTTGAAATTTAAGGAAGCTATGACATTTTTTGTGTTCGTGGCATCATATATAAGTTCGGCTTCTTAGGCCCGTATCGTCAGTCGTCCCTACAATTGTAGGGCGCCTTTATGGCCTCCTTGATTGTCATAGTTTTCTTCTTCTCCGTGTCAGCGCTCTATTTTGGGGTTATGTTACAAACATCTATTTGCATCAAATTCTGCTTGATTTTGAGTTATATCATGTTTTATTAGCTTGAAATTTCCTACAATTTAAAAAGAAAACATATCTTCACAATAGGAGAGCGCTGACGCTGACACGGGACAAGGGTAATCTAGAAATTTTTGAAGGAGAGAAAGGAGTATGACAATGAAGGAGGCCATACACGCGCCCTACAATTGTAGGGCCGACTGACGAAACGGGCCTGAGTCACGGAACTGCCGCGACGTCCCTTGCATACATATCGCATTCATCCTTAGCGCTCAAGCTAGCCAGTCGCAATATATTAGTGGGTTATATTTTAATACCGACCTTACACTAATAATGACAAGTAGAGACACTGATCTTAAAATTGTTTCAGAATTAGAGTCATTGGGATATTAGTGTTGGGTGCATTTCCACGCACGGATCTCAAAATTTCTAACCTAAAAATATTTTTTTTATCTTATTCAAAAGTGCATCAAGACTGATTTAATTCCAAAAATCTTATCAATTATAAGGTTTTGCTTTGTTTTTGTACTTCTTCGTGTTTTGCAACTCGTTTATAATATGCGAAACTATGCTTTGGCACGAATTACATCTGTAATTAAACCCCCCGATCGACGCCACCAGTGGTTCAAAAGTTCGAAAATATGTTGAAAATTAGAAAGATTCACTTAAATTTTACAAAAAATCCATTTCTACGGTTTCAAAGCCGCTGGTAACGAATAAGATATCAATTTGTCAAAGACCAAAATGGATTTAATATGGTGTACATCAAAAAATGTTTTTATTGAGCTCAAATTGAAGTTTTATGTTTGCAGGGTCGCTAATAACGAACTTGATATCAATTGTTCAAAAATCGAAATAGTGGTTCTGTGGCGGTTATGATTGCAAAAAATATTTTGCGCCCGTTCAAAATTTGGTTTCGACTGTTTGTAAGATTGCGGATAACGAATTAAGTATGGATTCTTAAAAAATCTAAATGGCGGAACCAGTATGACAGTTACGTTTACAGAAAAAAAAATTACGATTGTGCTTAAATTACAGTTTTATGTTTTTAATATATAATTTACGTATTATTGTATATACGAGGGATGTCTTTTAAGTTTTGCATATAGGAACATAGCAGGCCGCGCGGATCGAACGTCAGTACTGAATCTTAACCTCATTTTTTAGTAAACTTAAATTCAAAGTTTCACAACTGTGTTCTCACTACAGTGAATTTTTAAGTGTCACCAAGTCATTAGAAAAATGGAAGTCAACCGAGAACATTTTCGCCCCATAATTTATTACAACCTTCAGAGACAATTATCGCAAGAAGAATGCCTTGCTGAGTTACTGTCTGTTTTCGGCAACGAAGCGCCACATCAGTCGACAATTTTCCGTTGATATGGAAAATTCAAACGTGGACGGGTGAGTCTTAGCGACGATCCCAGGGTGGGTGCACAAAAAACGGCAGTCACCTAGGAAAACATCGTTGCTGTGCCCAACTCATCTTTGAAGATAGACATGTGACATATCACGAGAGATCTCAAAGACCTCAATTCAAAAAATTTTACATGAATAATTAGGAGTAAGAAAATTAGTTGACTGAAGAGCAGAAAGCAGCCAGGGTTAATTGGTGTCAAAAAACGCTTGACCTTTTCAATTCCGGAAACTCAAAAAATGTGTACAGCATTTTTAGTGGTGATGAATCGTGGATTTACTGTTATGAACCAGAAAATAAACGACAGTCGGCTGTTTGGGTGTTCCAAGGTGAAGAAAAGCCAACAAAAGTCATCCGTTCTCGAAATGTATCGAAACAGATGGTCTGAACATTTTTTTTTTATATCGAAACAGGATGTGTCAAAAGCGGGTCATATTGCAACAAATCCTCTTAATGAGTAAAGAACTGTTACTGCGGATTGGTATACCACCATTTGTTTGCCAAAAGTCATCACCGAGTTTCGAAAAATTAACCCCGAAAGAAGAATCGTCCTCCACCAAGACAATGCAAGCTCGCACACAGCCCAAAAACAAGGCAGTATTTAACGGAAGAAAACGTGGAATTATTGGACCATCCTCCATATAGTCCCGATCTAAATCCTAACGATTTCTTTACTTTCCCGAAAATTAAGAACAGACTGCGTGATCAAAGGTTACAGTCACCAGAAGAAGCAGTTGACGCATTAAAAAATGCCGTTTCGGATCTGCCAGCAAACGAGTGGAATAAGTGCTTCGAAAATTGGTTCGAGCGCATGCAGATGCGTATTAATCTTCGTGGAGAATACTTCGAAAAACAATAAAGTCATTTAAAACTACCTACCGTGTTGTTTTATTTCCATTTGCAAAACTTAAAAGACATCCCTCGTATAATGTCGCATAACTGCCAGACTTGCGGTCAACTGAAGCCAAAATTGACATACGAGGTCTGTAAATGAAGTTTGTTTTTTTTTAATTTTTTTATTCAAATATAGGTATAATTTTATACTGTCAACCTCAAAATAACTTCTTTCTGAAGCCGCACAGCGCTGGAGTCGGTCCTTCCATTCCTCATAGCAGTGATGGAACTCCGACGCTAGAATAGCCTTCAGCTGGTTGGCTACAGCCGTTTAAATGTTTTCGACGGTCTCAAAATGAGTTCCATTGAGGTGGTTTTGCAACTTCGGGAAGAGAAAAAAGTCACACGGACTTAAGTCAGGCGAATAAGGAGGCTGAGGAGCCACAGGAATGTTTTGACTGGCCCAAAAACTCGTTTATTGACATTGCTGTGTGACAAGGAGCATTATCGTGAATGTACATCCATTTGTTCTTGATCTGATGGACGGTGGTGTGAGTCAAATTTAACTCTTCCCCGATGATTCTGACCAACGATCTGAATGCATAAGATCCCGGATTCTGTCGATATTTCCATTGGTTCTTGAAGATAAAGACCTTCGCTTCGTGGTTCATCTTCAATCGA